TAAAAATGGAGATGTTCTGCCTTTTTTCCCCCACTTAGTAACAGACTATAACTATTTCCCGATGTCATCAGATAGTATACTATAGAATGATTTTGTAGTATTTTATCATAGAATATTTTACTGTTATAATTTAGCCAGTCCTTAAATATTGCACATTTACTTGTACAACTAAAGTGAATGTGATTATACTCATCTATTTTCTTAGAGCAATGATTTTATTGGATATGTATTTTTAAAGGGATGGCTGTTAAATGTTTTTAAATGATTTTGACCAGAGCCATCTAGCTGAAAATGATGGTGAATATTTCTCTGATCTTGAATTAGGAGGGACTTTCGAAGCAGACAAGTGATAGAAGAAATTACAAAAAGATATTAGATTTGACTTCAGAGAGATTTAAAAAATCCTTTATTTCAAGTGGTATAAACAGAATGGAAAAAGCAGTCATTTGCTTTATTGAGGGAAAACGTTTGCAACAGGACCAAGTGTTAATGTTCTTAATTTCCAAGGAGCTCTTACAAATGAATAAGAAAAAACCCCGAAACCTACTGAAAAAATGGACAAAGGCACTTAAAGTTTATAAGAGAGCTATAGACACATGGATCAAAGAAATCAAGATTGAAACCAGATGTCATTCTCCTCCCCCCCCAACACACACACCTCTGAACCGTTCATTGTTCTCAGTCTAGTTGTGGAGGAAGCAGCTTCACTGGCCCATGTTGGTATTATGATCATTGCGCTCTTCCCGGCTGAGGCAGTTGGTCGCCAGCCTTTGGAGGGCCACTCACGGCGGCTCACGGCAGCTCTCGTCAGCTCACGCCATCTGCCGGCGGCTCACAGCAGCCCAGCTCCAGATCAAGCCGTTGTTCGCAGTCTTAGCTGTAGAGGACACAGTTTACTGGTTCAGCTTACTGGCCCATGTGGGAATCAAACCGGCAGCCCTGCTGTTCAGAGCTCGTGCTCTTACCAGCTTAGCTAACTGGCTGACCCCCCAGGTGTCATTCTTTGCATGTCAAATTTGCAGGAGTTTAAAAAAAAAAATCTAGGCATGGTGAGTAGGGTTAACATACAATTTTCTTCTCTTGGGCTTTCTTTGTTAGTTTGTCAGTTTTCCCAGAAGGAATTGGGAAGGTTTCCCATTTCTTACCAAAAATGTTAGGGGATAACTGGCCTGTGAATTTGTCTGAGCCTGGTACCTTTTTAAAGCATAGTTCTTTGCTTTTGTAACTTTCTCTATTCATATATTGTTATTTGTTCAGGTTTTCAAAAAATAGTTCCTCCCCTCCCCCAAATTACCCATTTCATCAAGATATTCAGGTACATACATGTGCTTCTTTTGCAAATCCTTTAAAAAGTACGAACCAGGGAGCATTTGAAAGTTTGCTTCCCAGCATGTCATCAGCTTAGCTCAAATAAACTCATAAAAATTCTCTACAGGTTTGGATGTTCTTACATCGACAGTATGTTGTGAGATTAAGTTAGAAAACCAGTATATCTGGTATACATGTCAATATAAACAATACGAATGAATGGACATATAAATGAACAAACCCTTGGAAAAAGTGCGAACTAAATTTAAAAGCATGAAGAGTCCGTTGCATTTTGAGTTGCCCTTGTTTTTGGAAGATGTTCTTTGTGATAGTCAGCAAGTATCATTTTAATTTTCATTGAAAAGGTTTTTGTTTTTAAAATCAGGAGTAAGTGTTTTGTCAGCCTTTGGGGCATCTGCTGAATTGATATAATGATTTGGCTGCTCAGTTTCTGGCCTGTGGTATTAGCTCTGGGGTTAGTTACATCCTTCCTGCTTCTGAAGTATTAACATCCCTTTTAAGGAAATCATAAAACACAAAGATGATAATTCTATATTATTTCCCCCCAAAATTTCTTAGTGAATATTTTCTCTCTCTGAAATCAAAGTCTGGGAACCATAGCATATAGTACTTTTGCAAACCCCAATTAACAAACAGCAGAAGCACTGTGAACACAGGAAAGTGTTCTGAGTGGCCTTTCTGGGGGGAAAGTCAGGTGGTGCGTCATTGTGTTCCGAGTGGCGAGTGACGTGTCCTCTGACTTGCTTACGGGGGCCTGGGCTTTTTGATCTCAGCTCTGTGGCCTTGTGTGCAAAGGGCAGGTTTTCATGTTTCCAGAGTGTGGTGGAACGGATGAAGGGGAGGAATGCTCCACTGGCGCTGTGACAGAAGTTCAAGGATGCTCACTGATAACTCAGGCTTGTTTTTGTTGTGTGACTCCTGCTTCACTCTTTTCTCGAAAATACATTCATGTTTCTCCAGTCAGTATTAGAGCTTCTGACCCAGCTCTGTGGTTTGGTCTGCAATAGTTAAGTGGAGTAAAAAGCTAGTCCTTCCAAACACTCATCTTACCAATCAGCTTAAAAAAAATACTTTCCTAAACTAAATCTTCATGGGGGTCTATGGCTTTCACGTGTCCTTTCAGAATTTTTCTATGATTTGTAGCTAAAATGACATTTTGTTAATTTGCAGCTTTGCCCTTATGGAACCTTTTTAAATAAAATTAATATTTTTTTAGCTTCTTAAAGGATTTACAAACGAAGCATAGGCATAGTGGAAAGTAGTCCTAACTTCGCAAGATTGTATAAAGCAGATTTCAAAAGTCATACCACCCCTTGAACCCCCTACACTTCAAGGCAACTTGATGTTTATCCTTTCTAACCCTTTCCTGTGTCCACAAATATGTACTATAGAATTATACCTTTAATAAAAGTGGGATTATACTATACATATTGTGCATCTTGTGCTTTTGAAAGCACAATATAGATGATTTGAGTTTATTAAACTGAAAATATGCTTTTCTTTTGTTACTCTTTTTCATGTTCTTACTATTATTCCTCCTCCTGACTAATCTTCCCTGGTGGACATTTCCTTTGTGCCTCCCTTCTGACTGTACATTTTTAATAAACAGCTTAAAATAGATCGATGTTATAAAGATTTTATTTTGGGAATTAAATTACCTTTTTTTTTTTTGCCTTGCATGCAAAAGTATATTTTAGAAAGAGAAAAACATAATTTCTCCATTCACATCCTAATTACTTAGAATGAGTAGTAATATTTTTTCATCTCAAACAGCAAAACACCAATGTTTAGTTTGTGAAATTAAAGGAATACACTTGAGGCTCATGGAAGGCTGGACTGGTACAAGTCTGAGCGCACTTTGTTTACCTACCTCAAGGCCATTGGTGATGCAAGTAACTTGCCCAGAACAAATAGCAGAGTAGAAAGATTCACAGCATCCGTATTTTCTAATGAGCAACATGTTGGTATCTGGCTACACTGTTATCACCTTGTGTATTTTTCTTTATAATGGAGGGCCAGGCTCCCGACTGGTGCCACGCTGGCTGTTCCAGAGACAGCCCCCGGAGTCAGGCTCTCAGTTGTTTTTTTTTTAAGTTGTGAAATGTATGTATAGGTGCAAGAGTTCATAAAACACATTCATTTAATAAACAATAAAATGAACATATGTACCTATTGGTAACCCAGCTTATAAAGAATGTGACCCAGCTTTTTTGGAAGCACCCCCTGCCCTCAATGTATTAATACATTTTTAAGAGGCTTTAAAAGTAGGTGATTTTTGAGTAATTAAACCTTTGCTTTGCTTTCTCCCCAAATACAGTACCTTCAGTTTATTCTAGCAGTGGCATTGGAAGCAATTAGTTAGAATTGGAGGCAGGACTGTGCTGTCACACTCCTGATGGGCTCGGACCGCATTACTGTCACATCTCTTACAGGCTCCAGGACCTTGACCAGGAGGCCTCACCCCTTTTGGGTTTTCTTTTTTTTCTTTTCTTTTTTTTTTAAAGATTTTATTGGGAATTGGGGGAGGGGAACAGTGCTGGGGAATCAGGGGAAGGGAAACAGACAAGTTGCTTTTTGTTCTTCAGTCTAGTTGTGGAGGACGTTGCTTCCTGGCCCACGTTGGTATTATCATTGCGCTCTTCCCAGGTGAGGCAGATCGGTTGCCGGCCTCTGGACGGCAGCTCACGGCAGCTCACACTGGCTGCTGGCCGCTCAAGCTGGCTGCTGGCCGCTCAAGCTGGCGGCTGGCTACACACAGTAGCTTATGGCAGCCCACGCAGCAGGGGCTGCAGCCTATGCCGGCGCCGGTGACTCACAGCAGCCCAGCTCCAGGTTGAGCTGTTGTTCTGCATCTTAGCTGTAGAGGGCAGTGTCACTGGCCCTCATATGTGGGATCCAAACCGGGGCCCTGCTGCTCAGAGCTGGCATCCCAAGCCAGCTCTTAACCAACGCGCCACTCAGCTGGCTCATGATTGCACTCTTCCCAGGTGAGACAGTTGCTTGCCGGCCATTGGACGGCGGCTCACGGCAGCTCACACCAGCTGCCGGCCAGCCCCACAGCAGCCCAGCTCCAGGTCGAGCTGTTGTTCACCATCTTAGCTGTAGAGGGCGCAGCGTCACTGGCCCTCATGTGGGTTTCGAACCAGGGCCCTGCTGCTCAGAGCTGGCATCCCAAGCCAAGTGTTAACCAATGAGCCACTTGGCTGGCCCTCTTGGCTTTTCTTACTTATAAAGTGTGAGCCCAGTAGCTCCCAAAGGTTGTGGTAAAGATAAAATGAGGCACATGTGAAGCGGAGCATGATACCTGGCACATAGAACTAAAGAATTCTTTAAAATTATTGAAAATCAAGGCCCTGAGTTAAAATTGTCAAGGAAGAAAGCCCAACTGAGTGCAAAATTGCTTTTTCTAGGTGTTCTAAAACTACCATCTTCTAAGATATTTTGTGCAAAAGGAGAGTTGATTTTTTAAGGGGACCACAGGCACAGTCTGTGACCCTGCCCAGGGATGCGCTGGGACTTTGGAGATGTTCCTTGAGAGTGAAGAAGTAATAGAGCAAGTTTTAGGATTGGGCATGAAGGAGTGAGAAATAGACGCCATTCATGCAGACGGACTGCCTCCTGCTGGGTTTATTATTGCTCTTCATTTTTATTTACCATTTGTTTCTCTCTAGCTAGGTCTTGACTACGCTAACCAGGACTGCCCGTGCCGTTTCAAGCTTGGACCTCGGCAGCACAAGGAAATGGAGCTCAGCGGTGTATAGCGGAAAGCTTATGGACAGGCCCACGTCCCTGCATTTAGGTGCGTCTGAAACATAGTCTTTCTTGTTCTGCGTTTCATAATAGAGTTGTGCTGACAGCTTCTACCCTTGTAGTGTTCAAATTCATTCATGCTTGACTTCACTCTTTGCACTTGTTAGCAGCGGTCTAAATGCAATCCTGGGAATAATTGTTAGGGTAATGCTAATGATAAGGTAATGGACTTCTTTAGGCCACATTCCACATAGATGAAACCAGAAAATAAACAGGCGCAGTCTTGCCACTTATACTAATTACAAGGTAGGAAGTAAATATTTTCCTTTTATATGCTTTTGACTTTTTTATCAGCAAACACTTGAGTGTGTCCTGCTATTGGTACTCCTGATCAGGGTCACAGGTACGAGCCCTGGGTGTAAAGAGATGTAAGACCTGTTCCCTCATTCTTTTTCAAGCATTCTGCAATTTAAGTAGCAAGGCTAAGTACATAGGTGTACATTACTAAGGAAAATTCCTTCTCTCCCCACCCCCTCATCCCTCCTTTTCTTCCTACCTGCTTCCTCATCCCAAAGGGCATTTTGCTTATTTTAAATTTTTTGCTATTATAAACAATACTGTGGGCCGGCCAAATGGCTCAGTTGGTTAAGAGTTAGCTTAAGAGCGTGAGCTCTGAGCAACAGGGCCACTGGTTTGATTCCCACATGGGCCAGTGATGCTGTGCCTGAGCTGAGCTGTCGCTGAGCTGCCAACAGGTGGCAGGATGGCTTAGCTGGTGAGAGCACGTGCTCCTAACAACAAGACTGCCTGTTCGATGGTGGGCTATGCCCGCCCGCAACTAAGACTGAACTCGGCACCTTGAGCTGAGCTGCCACCCGGATGGCTCAGTGGGTAGAACATGTGCTCTTAACAACAAGGCTGCTGGTTTGACTCCTGCATGGGATGGTGGCTACACACACCCGCAACTAAGATTGAACATAGCACCTTGAGCATAGAGGCCACGAGCTGCCGACGGGCAGCCAGATGGTGACTGGTGCCCTCCACAACAAGACTGAGGAACAACAACTTGGCTGGTCCCCTCCCCAATTCCCCAATAAAAGCTTTAAAAAAAAAAGGAAGACAATACTGCCCATCTCTTGTACATATTTCGGGGAGACTGCCCGTAAGTAAATTGCTGGCAGTAAAGTTATTGGGCATAGTGCATAAGATTTTTCAGTTTTTAAATTTTGATAGATACTAACATATTGTCCTGCAGGGAAGCTATAAGAATTTGTATTCCTACGGAAAAACACTTTCTCAAACACTTTGTCTTGTCAAAACTATATTTATTCAGCATAGAAGGTGTAAAACATTATGTCAATAGTATTTTTAATTTAAATACAGTAAAACTCACTGTTTAGGTGTATAGCTATAAGAGCTTTCACAAATGCTTACAGAGGATCATTCCTTTTAAAAAAATACTTTCATTTTCTAATGAAATCTATGCTTGCTATTTAAAAAAATAAATAGAACTTAGGAAATAATCAAAATTTAGGAAGAAGAAAATATTGTTGATCCCACCACCTAATGACATCACTGTGAACGTTTTTGTGTATTTCTTTCACTTTTTTTGTTTTCTATATGCAGTCTTTTTTTTTTCTTAAGCCATTATCATCAAATTGTATGTATTACATTCTTAGAAGTAATATTTATTTATTAACGATGAGGGAGGTTTGAGGGGAAGACAGTTCTGTCTGGGGATACCCACAAAATAAATGGTCTCCCAACTCTCAGAGTTTTAGTTACCACCTTTATATTTCAATTCACAAATCTCTGTCTCTGCTCTGTTCTTTCACAGAGCTTCTCTCTCGCATCTCTCTGGGTCTTTGTGGGTACGTTTCCAACGTACATGCCATGACCAGCTTAAATTCAGCATGTCCAGACCTTGGTCATTACTTGCCTCATCAAGCCCATTTCCCTACTTATTTTTCAAGGGGACACTCTTGTTCTTTTCTTAGAGGTCATCTTTGACACCAAGTCTTTGATTTCCTCTTTCTTTGATGTCGCTCCCTTTGTCTATCCCCTTTTCTCTTTGTCGTTCCCATCATCCAGTTGCCAAGATCCTTATACTTGGATTAACACAGTAGCTTCTTGATCTTCCATGTTGGTATTGTCCAGCAGTGGGCTCTTTTTTGCTCTCATCACCTGCCCAGAAACTCACGTTCTCTAAGTTGTGTCGCATTTATTGTACATTGGGCTTTCGAAGGTCCTTTGACCTTGCGAGGGTTTTTTGTTGTTGTTTTTTTTAAAGATTTTATTGGGGAATTGGGGAAGGGGAACAGTATTGGAGAAGGGGAATAGCCAAGTTGTTGTCCTTCAACCTTAGTTGTGGAGGGTGCAGCTAGCTCAGCTCCAAGTCCAGTCGCCATCCGGCCGCCCATTGGCAGCGTGTGGCTGCTCATCTCAAGGTGCCGTGTTCCTTCTTAGTTGTGGGTGGGCATAGCCCACCATCCCATGCGGGAGTTAAACTGGCAACCTTGTTGTTAGGAGCACGTGCTCTCACCAGCTGAGCCATCCTGCCACCTGTTGGCAGCTCAGATTGGGTGTAGCTCACTGGCCCATGTGGGAATCGAACTGGCGACCCTGTTGCTCAGAGCACGCGCTCTTAACCGACTGAGCCACTCGGCCGGCACTAATGCTTATTCCACCTCCCATGGCTCTGGACTCCATGGTGGCCCTTGGATTCCATGGTGGCCTCCCACTCAGGACTCTCCATCCTTCAAGTCTGACCTTGGATCCCACTTCCCAAAAGTAATTCCTGACCATTTCAAGCCCTGTTGAGTTCCTGTTTCTCAGCGCTCTTATGTACAGTTTGGTAATTGTTATGTTTCTGTAATTCACTAGTTGTCCCAGTCTGTCCAGTTAGATGGTAAATTGCTTCACGGTGTACTTCATTTCTACTTCAGTGCGCTGACTGTTGTGGCTGTTCAGGAACCTGGCTGAATGATTGGTTTATTCCATTTTCTTTGACACTATCATTACAGATCCTTAGATAGTAAGCTCTTACTAAACAGAAAAGAGAAGGCTTGCTAGTTAGTACCTTTTATCTTTGTTATCAAGAATATACAGATGATAATTAACTGCCTGTGCACTCACAGCTCTGCCCAGTGCCTGGAGCCTGCAGACCAGGTGCCTGGTTCTGATTCAGACTCATTTTAGAAGTTGATCCACAGATGCAGAGGGACTTGGGTATAAACTGGACCAAAAACTTTGAGCAGTGAGGAGAAATTTCTATTTTATTGGCAGCGGATGTCCGAAAGACTGTCTTGTTATTCTTGTGTTTTTGGTTTATAGACTGTGCTGTTGACGTCAGTGTCCTACTTTCTCATTACTAAACATGTTATATAAAAATGCTGTGTTGTTTATAGTTGGATCAGTAGCAATAAGAGAATTAAATATTTACAGGAAAAATTGGATAGTTTGAAAACCCTATGTAAACATTGATGATTACAGAGCTTATATAAGAAGGTAAAGAAGAGTTGTGTAACGATGAAAGTAATTCCAAGCATATTAGAACAACTCCAGCCTTTTCAGTTGAATATGTTATAAAATCAACGTGTTAGTGCTGGACTAAGACCAGATGTTTATAAATTGTCTAAGTGGTTTGCTGACTTTCTGTTTGGTATGGGGAAATCTCATCGATAAATCTGTCCTATTCCTCCTACTGATAATTCTTTTCAAGAACAAGTATTACTTTGTTTTAGGTTTGTCACACAGAACCAGAACCTGCAATTCAGTAGTTCAAAAGCCCCTCTGGTTTTGAGCAGTAGTTACCCTTGGATGGACTCTGTGTTTGATTTAGATTTCTCCTTGCTGGTTCCGAGCTTCCAGCAAAGAACCTCAGCTCCCCTTCTGACCTTTCAGCTCGTGCTTGTTGTTAGCATGTGGATTTCGGCTTTGGCCTTTCTCACACCTGGCTCCCTCCCTCCTCCTCCCAAGTGCTGGGAGTGTGAGAAATTAGCTTATGGCTCCTGCCCCCCTCTGTCAGAGTGCAGGCTGCAGAGCCGATTGTGTGGGAGAGTAAGACGGTTTGTTTTGACGTGTGGACTAAGATACATGGGCGTGTGTGTGTGTGTGTGTGTGTGAAGTCGAAGTATCAGAACACATTCTTTGGTTGGAGTCCGGTCATGATGACCGCGATTGTGTGGGAGAGTAAGACGGTTTGTTTTGACGTGTGGACTAAGATATACAGGCGTGTGTGTGTGTGTGTGTGTGTGAAGTCGAAGTATCAGAACACATTCTTTGGTTGGAGTCCGGTCATGATGACCGTGGTTGTGTACTCTGAAGTAGCATTTACTTTTTTCTTTTCCTGGTATCCACTGTTTTTAGACCAGTGTTGTCCAATACAATCATAATGGGAGCCATACATGTAGTTTTCTAGTAGCTATGTTAAATAAGATAGAACGAAGCAGGTAAAATTAATTTTTAGTAATAGATTTTATAATCTAATGTATAAAAATCACTTTAAGTAATCAATATAAAATTAATGAGATATATTACTTTTTTTTTTCATAGTAACGCGTTGAAGTCTGTGTCTTTTACACTTATAGCACATCTCAGTTGGACTGACCCCATTTCAAGTGCTCAGTAGTTACATGGTGCTTGTGGCTCAGCTCAAGGCCTACGTTGCTTTATCTGTGGCTGAGTAGTGTGTTCTCAGCTTGTAAGCTTTGGATTTGGGGTGTTTCATAATGTAAGTCACTTCCATTCGTGGACTGTGGAATAATAGGAACTCGTAGTGAATGATGCTTCTATCAGCGTCCCCTTTCTCATTTTTTTTTCTGTCAAATTGAGGTTTCTCATTGCCTGGAAATGCTTCAGAACTAGTTCAACAAGTAAATTGATAGGCAGTATTTCCAGGTGTTAATTCATTTATTCCCTGGCTCAAGAAGGAAAAAAAATTCTTAACATATTTTAAATGTGTGTGTGTGTGTGTGTGTGTGTGTGTGTGTTTATACATATATAATTTTTTAAAGTAATTTTCTCTTATCAAAGAATCACAAATGTTTT